GAGTATTACAAATAGAACAATTTGAATTTAATTATTTTTTTCAAAAATCAGATGTCTTTATTTTTAATTTTTAGGCAGGGAAAAGGTCAAGATTAGTACAGAAAGTTGAGCAATGAGGAAATGTCTGCAAAACTAAATGCACTAGAAGACAAAATCAATTGTCTTGCAAAGGAAGTGATAAAAGACTTTTCGTGATTTATTTTTTCTTGACGAAAAATGATTATCGGCGGCGTTGCAATATCTACAAAGAAACTTGTGTTACGACAAAAACGCAGAAGACGAGTTGATTGTTCCATGGAAAAGCATAGCATTAGTTTCAAAATTGATAGACAAGTTGACGATGTAAATGATTTGGTAACGTCTGATGAGGACGACTTAAGAATGGATGCAATGGATCCGGATTTCAGTGTTATCACTGAAACTACTGACAGTAAAGTATTGGATATTGATAACAAGCAGCGCAAGAAACAAATGCTACCAATTGGTCTTATACACAAGGGGGGCACATCAATGGTAATAGATACGAATAAACTTGGCAGAGAACGGCGAAAAGTCAGTAAGCGATTACAAACCCAGGCGTTTCAGCAAAAACTGAATGGACTCTATTTCGATGGCCGCAAAGATAAGACCAGAGTTCAAACTAGAAATGCTAACAAAAACCTTGGACGGATTATTGTAGAAGAACATGTGTGTCTAGTTCGCTAGCCGAATTACCTAGGCGAGTACCTAGGCTACATTACACCTTCAAGCGGAGTAACCGAGAGCACAACTACATGTTTCAGGGACTTTCTAAAGGAGAATTAAGTCAAAACAGAGGATGTAATGGCTAATGGGTGCGATGGCACTAACTTCAATACCGGGACACACCGAGGTGTGATCCGTTTGCTTAAAAAGCTCCTTGGTAGACCGCTTCAGTGGTTCGTCTGCTTATTGCATGCAAATAAATTACCGCTGAGGCATCTGATTACTCATCTTGATGGAGTTAGGAGTGGTTGAAAATTGTTTTCTGGACCCATTAGAAGTTTACTGCTGACATTTTAAGAATTGCCCGTTGTACCATTTGTGGCTATAAAGTTTGACAACTGTCCTTCTGTGGATTGTGCTGACTTGAGCACGGATCAAAAATATTTGTTCAACATGTGTAAAGCAGTAAAGACTTGGCAATGTCTTGGTAATCTCGCGTTGCAAAAGCCCGAACCGGTGGTACATTCAAGATGGTTAACTAGCGCTAACAGGCTGCTTCGGTTATATGCAGCGACAGCTATTTCTTCCAAGAATCTTGTGGAACTTGTCACGTATGTCATAACTGTGTATGCACCGCTATGGTTTCACATTAAACTCAGGTCGGCGTGCACGGAAGGATTGCGATATATGTGGAGACTAATACAGTTTTCTAGATACATAAAACTGGAACTCAAAGGATCGTTGATCCCGTAGTTGCCATAAACGGTTACTTTTGCTATTCTGAGAACAACTTTTTGGAAATGCTAGCTGATGAAAAAGACCACATCAGAGAGCTGGGTTGCAGGCGGATACTTGCTGCACGGAAGGAAAACGCATCAGAAGCACTGCGGCAATTTCGAGTTCCAAGTTTAAACTTCAATGCCAGAGATTACATTGACCTGGTAAACTGGAAAAACGAAGACCGCTGCGAACCTCCGATGACGAAACACCTGGCTGAAGCAGAGCAACAAGACTGATTTAAGAACAGGAACAACCAGCTTGTTAGGAGTCTGCTACAATTTCCCTGCCACACCCAAGCCACCGAACGACATATTCGTCTAGTGACTGAGGCATCGGCGGCAGTTTGTACTGAACAACGAGACGGACTTATCCGTTCTGGTATTGAATCCAGAAAGTAAATGAAATCGTTTGA